ATTTGGCTGAACATGAGACCTCTTTGCATAGATAGTTTATTGGGTTGCCAAACAACAAGTGTTGAATTTTGATAAGATGTAGTACTGCTGAAAAGCATGTAGGCAACAAAAATTGGCTTTTGCTTTTTTTAATTGGATAACATATTATATTAATAAGGAGGAAGTCTGCTTATCTTTTTTGTTGGGCAACATGCTGCCGTTCGGCAGCTTTGGCTGTTGTAGAGATGATGGTTCCACACTTGGTCACGGAAGCCATGCAAGCCATGCAAAATGGGTGGCTTTCCTCCAATACTAATTTATGTAGAAAATTATGAACAGGCCACCTATCATATGGAATTGTGGGCCACGTGGGCCTCCATTTGGCTTGAATTGTCTTTTGCATGTTGCTGCCTTGTGATTCAAAGTTGCCTCACTATGGGTATTGTCGAATGACAATTAGATAATGTTGATTATAAGGGTGCCAAACTTTCTCTTCAAATGGGGTGCCGAACGGCACTTTGAATTGAGATGGTGGTTTGGTCATGCAAGCCATGCAAAATGGTATCCACATTCTGATTGGTTTTTCCTTGAAATATCATCTTTTGCAATGTTGCCTTAGCATTCATGGTTGCTCCAGCATGAGATTGCTGTTCGGCAAGTTAGGAGATGCTGATTGCAGGGGTGCCGAAGGGCACTGCCGAAGGCAACGCTGAAGAAGGGGAGAATGATAGAAGCTTTTTGTGTCGATTCCCACAGACGGCGCCAAACTGTTGACGCTCAAAAATGGTTCGGCACTTTTGAGCCCAACTTAGTGATGAGGTGTGATTGATGATGAGTGAAGGTGAGGACCTTCACCAAGCGTGTGAGGATTTGAGCAAGCGATAAACATACAAAAGACAATATATACGTGGTTCACCCTTAATGAATGGGCTACGTCCACGGAGAAGTATATTCTTATTATTATAATATTGTGTATTTACATTTGTACATGGGGTTGGGCCCAAACTTAAATGTAAGAAAGGGGAAGGTCATGACTAAAGGTCAAGCCCAGCTCAAGGGATCATTTTCAAGGAGAGAGTGGTCTCCTTTTATAGGTGAGGGGGAGCCTTCACTTCTTGTAATATTCCAATGTATGACTCTTTGTTTTGCCTAGAGTTGCTTCTAGTTGCTTGGTCAAATATGGTATAAACAAAAGACACAAAGACACATAGAAGAAAGATATCGACAGACAGAGATTGGTCCAATTAAGCCAAACGCATCAAAATAACTTGTACTTATTCGGGTTTTATCAGTTCAAAACGTACGGCTAGTTTGTAAAAAAATGTTGACCATTTTTACAATTCAATGTATATGAGATTGACCTAAAATAGAATTCAATGTCAATTGCATTGGTTGATGGGATTTTAATGAAATATATAAATAATGAAACATAAAAATAAGATTTAAAAAAATCGTCAACGAATCAGGCATAAAATATTCTCACGTGGCTCAAAAATTATTCTAGCTCTAGGAGGATCGTATGATATATCCTTAGGCTTAGCTTAGAGACCTTAAACCATTAAAATATCAATGGGGCCTAGGTGTACTCTAACCCTTTATGCACTACAGATTCATATAAATTTTTTACTCACAAACATAATTGATGCAATCCAAAATAGAGAAGGAAAGCACCAAATAAAATGCAATCTAAATGGAAACTTGATAATTGCATCAAAACCTCACTTAAATATCAAGGTCTCGAAGTTTAGCTCAAATGATGAGGAAGGTCGATCAAGGAAATGGGTTGGATTAGGCTAGGTTGCTTAAACATAATGTAAACATAAAAAAATCATCACTTAAATATTACTCCAAGAAATAAATAAATATATTTATTTTTGTGTATTTGGGTCATGGGTTTGATATATTGTTTGGTTTTTATTTTGTGTGTTAATAAAAAAAAACTTAATAATTGATTTAGCCAAAATTAACATATAATAAATGAGGTAACATTAATTCGGGACTGAACAATTTAAGTGCGTGATACAGTAGCTTCATCGGGAACTCAGGTTCGATTTTGATTCAGAAATTACATGACATGTCGATATTGTATTACAAATTCACACTCAAATTATAACTACATTATATATGTGTTGAATTTTGTTTCCATGATTGTACATGTCACGTGATATAATTTGAATAAATTCCTAACATGTAACACGTTGAATAAATTCCTAACATGTAACACGTCGACATGCCACAGATATATTTGCCACCAATGTATTATAGGATCATGTTGGATTTGTGGTACGTGGAATTAATGTGAACCAAGTTTCCAGGATCGAGGGTTCTATCTTTTAACCAATGTGAATCATGTGATGTCTGAATACATTCAACTAGCTCAAAAGAAATTATTGATTTCTTCTTAACACCCTATATTCTCATAGCTTCACCCATCCATGATTTGCTATAAATCTCCACGTAATTAAGCATGCACCTATGGCCTAGATCCGATTGACGCACAGTGTGTATGCAGTTCCTTGTCATATATCCATGAATTTCGACTTCTTTTTTGTTGTTGTTTTTTTTGTTACATCTACTAGCCAAACCTTTTTTTTCGACCATCCCCTCAGGACTAGCTCCAGAGGCTCACTTTGACTTGGCTTTCACGGCTACAAATGAACGCATGCTCTTTGTCCAATAATCCTGTGTGTATTTCGGGTTCTTCAGCCCTCATCCGTCGTTATTTCCAGTTATATAATTCATTAAAGGATAGGTCCAACTTGATTACACTCACAAAACCTTCTTGCTCATATTCATCAAGATATCACACTCATCTTTTTCCCTCTTGGGATTAATTTGTACCTTCCTTTCTGAAAATGGCTCCTCGAGGAACCCTTGAAGTTACACTTGTTGGTGCTAAGGATCTTAAAAACATGGATTCAATGGGTAATTAAGCATGCATGCAGTTCATGGCTTCTTCATGCATGATGATCGGTTTGCGATGATCTTATGAATTAGTATATGTTTCTGACAACATTTAATATGAATACGTGTAGGTATGATGGATCCTTATGTCGTATTCACCTACAAAGATCAGGAGAAAAAGAGCAAGGTGGCAAACGGTCGGGTTTCTAGTCTCCCTGAATTTTTAGTATGATGTTGAGTTTAATGACATTACATAGCTCTCTTTATTTTAATTAGTTTTAAAAAGAGGAAAAGAGCCTACAATTCTTTGATGAAGAGTATGAAGGGATCGAATTGTTGGGGATACTCCACAGTGTGGTTCAATGATCTGAATCATTTAGCTTTTAATCCTCATTTAGGAATCATACATGCAAATTAATGCAGCCGTAAGTCCGATCATTTGATTATATCATCATGATCATTTCATTGTTTGCTACTTATTGTGTTATAATTAGATGACAAAAGAAGAAAGAGTTCTTATTTTGTGGACTTTTTTTGTTAAGATTATCATTGAATGAGTTCTTATTAAAAAGATAAATGGTTTAAGTCATCGGATGACATTGATGGTTTTTCTCCTACTGATAAAAACTCTTCGAGAATAGTGAAAAGGAATCCATCGTTAGAACGGGATTGTAAATAACATATACATATATTTTACGGGAACATGAGAACAAAATGATTTTGAATTTAAAAAAAAAAAAAAGAATATTATGATGGATCATTAATTCACTTGTATTACATACCAGGTGAAATTAATATTAAGAAAAAAATGTGTTTGTGCAGGTCAAGGATCTGAACCAGATTGGAATGAAACTCTTCTATTTACAATTGCTGGTGCTGAAGATGAACTCAGACTGAAGTTATATGACGAAGACTCTGGTAGCACTGATGATGATGTGGGTGAATTAACGTAAGCACTTGTAGCTCCCTCTTATGAAGAAAAAAAAAGATTCAAGCTTTCTATGCTAACATAATCTTGTGAATTAATTTTTTATACTAAAATAAATAAGAATTAGCCCTCATTAAAAGAATCACTTAGTAGCACATGAAGGTTTTTATACATGTGCTTATATATAATATAATAGCATAGGATTTTCTCTTCAATTTCCTACATTTTTTTTTGTGTATTTAAATTATTTTTACTGTGAAATCTTAGAGATTTTCTTTGTGGGTATTAATTTTTTTTTTTTCACTCTTATTAGTTTCCTTGAAAAAAATTACTAACAATGTTCATGCAGAATTCCACTGGATGCAATAGTTACCGACAGCGGGTGCGAAGGAAGAATGCCACCAACGCCATACGAGGTAATGAGGAACGACAAAGTCAGAGGAGAAATTACCATTGGCCTCTATTTCAATCCTGAGGTATTTTTTCTTTCTCGTCCGCTTAATTGATGTATATAGTTAATCGTTAATCGGTTAATAAGTTAATATGTATAAATAGAATTAATTTTAATATATTAGTAAGTTAATACGGTTAGCCCTCCTGAATTATATACATGTATAACGAAATTAAGACCATAAGGACATGTTTACTTACCATAAACGGGACATTATTAACGAAAATAAATTATCATAATCATGCAAGGCAATTGTACCATGTAAAAAGCTGCTTTAATCTGCTTCAAAATTTACGATAATATTTTAAAGTAGTAATTAACCATGCCTCTTTTTCCGAATATATATATATAATATATATGTATTGTCTGTTTTTCACAGCCTGGCAGTGGAGATCGCGACTATGGCAGTGGAGATCGCAGTGGAGATCGCGACTGTGATGAAGAAGAAGAAGAAGAAGAAGACGAGTGAAATGGTGAAAGGAAAGAGTCCACATGCGACTGATTGTCTGAAGAATAATAGTTTTGCTCGATACCAGTACCATATATGATTTTTTTTCTTTCTTCTTTTTTCCTTTTGTTCTTCTTGAAGAATAATACCAACTTGGAGATATCAGTGTTCCATTGCTAATACTTTGTGATAATAAACTTTCATTTGTTTTTTTACCAATAATTTTCTTTCTGATAAGCACAAAATGGGGTGCCTAAATTCATTTAAATGATCAGAAACTCAACTGAAAATTTTCATTAACAGCACTATGATGCATTTTATCTGCGGTAAGAACTACAACAGTTTTGACTTGCAAAGACTCCCTTGAGAGTTTAAATATTTCTCCTGGCCAGTCAATACATACGGAAAAAAGGTAAAGGTAAATATCCACTTGCAAAATAAATGTTATATTCAGATGGAATTCTTTGCTACAACACAGGAGACATGCAGCTACAAGGTTTCAAAATGTATAACTTGCTGAAACCTGTGTACCATTACAGATAGGAATTACCTTTCTTCTAGGACTTTACCTTTCCACGATAATCCTTACTGTCTCCTAAGCAAGGCTTCTGTGAATCAACCCCGCCGCAATTCGATAAGCTCACGTTTCCTGCAGGTAGGAATGGAGAATTCATCGATAACTGTTGGCCTGAACCGGCCCCACTGCAATTTGACAAGCTCACATTTCCTGCAGGCAGGAATGAAGGATTCATGGATAACTGATTGCTTGAAGCAACCCCTTTGCTATTTGACATGCTCACATTCCCTGAAGGCAGGAATGAAGGATTCATGGATAACTGTTGGCTTGAAGCAACCCCGTTGCAATTTGACATGCTCACATTCCCTGAAGGCAGGAATGAAGGATTCATGGGTAACTGTTGGCTTGAAGCAACCCCATTGCAATTTGACATGCCCACATTTCCTGAAGGCAGGAACGAATAATTCATTGGTAACTGTTGGCCTGAAATAGATTGTTCTGGTGCGTCAAACTGAGGTAATATATCACTTTGAAAAAAGCTGGGTGATCCAAAATCTGGTAGTGCCAAGCTATCTCTGTGGTTGTGAGAGGTTTCGATTTTTTCTTGGAAGTAACCCTGAAACAAATCATCCTCTATTGGTATTGCACCTGTAAGAGTCTTGAATGCAAAATCTAGGCATGGGTCAGACCAAGAATCCATGAAAGGGA